CTGCAGAAACACCCTTGTCGGAGACCAAGTGGCCAAGGTACTCAATTTCTTGTTTGGCAAAGACATACTTAGACGTTTTAGCAAACAAACTGTGCTTCTGTAAGAGTTGCAAGGTCAACTTTAAATGTGATAAGTGCTCATTCCACGTTTTGCTAAAAATCAGTATATCATCAAAGAAAACTAAGATAAACTTCCTCAAATATTCCTTAAAGATCTCATTTATGAGACTTTAAAAAGTTGAGGGTGCATTTGTCAGCCCAAAAGGCATGACTAGGAACTTATAGTGTCCGTCATGAGTCCTAAAAGTTGTTTTTGGTATATCAGAGGCATGCACTCTAACTTGGTGATATCCAGCCCTCAAATCAAGCTTAGAAAAGAAAGAAGCACCACAGAGCTCATCCAATAACTCATCAGTCGCAGGTATTGGAAACTTATCCTTCACAGTAATGGTATTTAAAGCCCTGTAGTCAACACACATACGCCAAGTTCCTTCTTTTTTTTTAACTAACAAAACAAGTGCTGAGTAAGGACTAACACTTGGTTAAATGACCCCTGAATGAAGCATCTCTTTGACCTGTTTTTCTATCTCAGTTTTTTGGAAATAAGGGTACCTGTAAGGTCATATGTTTGGAGGTTCTACACCTGGTTTTAGGGGAATGTGGGCCCCTTTTGGGAAGTGAGTTATAATCTACTTCTCAGATTATAACCCACTTCCTCTCTCACAAAAAAGCTGCTTATAAGCAGCTTTTAATCAAAAAACTGATTATAATCATCTTCCCAAAATAGCCCGTGGTGGTCTTGGCTTCTTGCTGGAGGCAAGTTTTTGGGTTCTTGAAATACTGTTGTAAATTGGGACAACAACTGCTCCACTTCAGGTACATTAGCTACTGTTAGAGAAACAACTTGTATAGCATTAATGTGAGCCACAAACCCGTGAGGTTTCTTCTGTAGTAATTTTTGCATGTGTGCAGCATCCACCAACTTGGATTCCCCTTGCTTTCCACCCCTTAGAACATGCCTCCTATTGTTGAGGGTGAATCTATACTGAGATTTTTGAAATCCTATTGCACAAGACCCAGTGTAGCCAACCATTGAATCCCAAGCACCATATCACACCCTTTGAGTTCCAAAACCTTCATGTCTATTTGGAAGACCACCCCTTGCATCTCCCATTTGAAACCTTTACAAGCTGCACTGCTGGTCATCTGTGTTCCATCAGCAACAAACACTGTCAAAGGATCAGTGTCAACAGTCTCTACACCTGCTTTCTTAACCACTACTTGGTTCAAAAAGTTATGGGTGCTACCAGTATCAATCAAAATCACCACTTTTTGTTTCTTGACCAACCCATGTACCCTCATGGTTCTGTAAGAGACTGAGCCAGTTATTGCATTAATAGAAATCTGCAACTCACCTTCTTGTTCCAGGACTTCCTCACCTTCCTCCTCTCGTGTAGGTTCTTGATCGGAGTCCTCTTGGTCCCCGTCCAAAACATACAACTGCTTTTGCTTGCATTGATGGCACTTTTCGTTACACTTGAAACATAACCCTTTTGCCCTCTTTTCCTCCAACTCCTTTGGTAACTCTCTTCGAATGGCAGGAAAAGAATTAGGTCTGGATTGCCCATACGAAAAATTTTCTCCAGTTCTTAGTGGCAGCCTGGTTTTCTAGGTAACTGCCTCAATACTGAGTTCTTGCAACTTGGCTAAACCGATGGCTTGCATGGTATTTGTAGGTTTAAACGTCAAGACATTGTGCCTGTTTGGCAGAAATTATTTACAGCTTATTTCAGCTTTCAGTTTAATTTAAGCTATTTTGATGTGTTTGGTTTAGCTTATACCTTATAGCTTATAGCTTTGTGGAAGTCAGAAATCAGCTTATTCTTTGAGTGGGGCAGGAGATGCTTTAAGAATAAGCTGGAAATCAGCTTAAGCTGAAAGTTATAAGCTATAAGCTGTTTAGGCATAAGCTATAAGCACTTTCCCACAGCTCTACCAAACAGGGCTATTGGCCCGTATCTCCTCCTTTAATCCACTAATGAAGCAACTAGTAAAGAAATGTTCAGGTAGGCCTTGAGTTTTGCTAGCAAGAATCTCGAATTGTTCCTAATAATCCCTGACAAATGATGTTTGCTTCAATTTGGTTAATTCACCAGCAGCATCCTCATATACATCAAAACCCAAATGAGAAATCAACCCATTTTTAAACAGATCCCAATTAACCAAAGCGTGTGTTTTCTCAAACCATTGATACCATTGCAGAGCCCTATCTTCCAAATGCAAGATTGCCAATTTCACCTTATTATTGTCTTCAACACAGTTATACTCAAAAAATCTTTCGCATTTGTAAACCCAGCTTGACGGATTATCACCAAAGAATTTAGGGAAGTCAATCTTGGCATACCTAGTTCCAAACTCAGGGAAAGGTTGAGATTGGGAAGACTCTGCTCTGAATTGATTGGAACTCAGCCCTAGATTTTCGGGAACCCCAGGTACAAATTCGTGTTGCTTCCCATACACATGAGCCGCCACCTAATCATACTTGAAAGTCACTGCTGCCATGAACTCCTTGATTTCTACTAGAGTGTTCTTGATTTCCTCCGTTTCTTTTACGGAATTGACTACTTGTTCCTTCAAAATTCGAAAGGAATTTTCGAGTCTCTTGAGATCTTGACTCCTAGTCCCATCTGCCATTGCAAATTGATTGCTTCACAGGCCGAGAAATGCTTGCTCTGATGCCAATGTAATGACTAGAAATGGAAGAAGAAGAAATATAGAAGGAAAAGAGTTATTTGGTGCTCTTATTCCAACCCAACGAACAGGTTATGAAACAATACAAAAATGAATGAAATGGGCAGTGTATTACCTCCTATATCTATACACATAACCAACTCCTAACTGCCCTAACAGATTCAGTAATTGGAATTACAATGCCTAACCGACTCCTAACTGTTCATAACACTTTTCGTAATAATCCAATCCAATCCAATTAACGAGATAACATTTTTTTTTTTTTTCCTTCACCTGATTGGTAATTTCCTTCTTCAAATTTATATTTACGTTAACTAAAACATCATAGTCAACACTCCATACATATGTGTGTGTATATGTATATTGGGTTTATGTCTGTGAGGTGTGTTTGTGATTGTGTCATTGTTTGGTGATGACATTTTATTGCTTTCTCGAACTATTGCTCGACAGAAACATTATGGTCGGATCTGAGTTTTTTGATCGAACTAACAATGGGGTCTGTAGTGATGGTTTCATGGAAAATTTGAAATTTTTTGACTTTCCCATGGAAAGTTTGGAAGGGGATGGCCTCGATGAAGGGGATTGGGATGCAAAGCTCCAAGGCCTCGGGCCAATTCCTTCTGAATCTTTGATGGCTTCGTTGTTGACTTCTGGTGGCGACATTGGCAATGCCGGCTCGGTTGTGACACCTAATCTCTCTGTTGCTGTGAGTTCATTGTTATTGTTTTACAAATTAATGATTTTGTCTTCATATATTGTTAATAGACATTCATAGCACTGTATGTGGAAGAAGTGTTTTGCTGCTATTATGTTATGCATGCGGACTGCAGTTGCTTTATAACTCTTTTTTTTTAAATGGGTTTGACTCACTTGGCCTTATTATCGAACAAGTGTAGTGCACATTGGGTGTATTCCGTGTTTCTCTATTCCTGTGAGTTCATTGTGCTTGTTGCTGTATGCTTCCTGATTACGTCCAAGTAGTAGTTTTTCTTTATAAAAAATATGCTACAATCTTCAATCATTATTCATTTTTTAAAATCAATGATTTTGTGTTCATAGACGGATTGTTTTACTTGCGGCTATTATTTGATGCATGAGTATTGTGGTTTCTTTAGAACTTTTTTCGTTATATGGGTTTGACTCATTTGGTCTTATTATTGAACAAGTGTAGTGCACATTGGGAGAATTCCTTGTCTCTCTTATGAGACTGCGAGTTGGAAAAAACGCATTATAATATTTGTGTAAAATTTTTGTGTTTTGGATCCAATTTTTTAGAACCCATATTGTTGCAATTGATGAAAATTCAAGGGTTACTAACAGAATTTAAAACAGTTGGTATTTTTTTAGTTATTTTACCAAATAATATTGGAAAAAAGAAATCAATGAATTCTTTGCTTATGAGGTTGCATGGGAGTTTTTTTATTCAGGTCTCTTTGATGACGTTCTTCTGTGTAACAAGGCAAGAGAGTGGGCGCATATCGAATTTATATTTCAAAAGAACTTGTACTAACACTCTCGAAAGAGGAACTGTAGATTGAATTTATAATTTCATGATGACTCATGTTCTAAATAATTCTTGCAAGAGGAACATTACAATTAGCTTGGGAAGAAAAATGTTCACTGGCTTTGCCATTTTTTTTTTTTTTTTGATGACTGAGAAATCGGCCTAGGTAGGGTTCTTTGCCATTGTGAAGAAAGTAATAATCATCATAGTGAGATAATGATAACAAAGTTGTTATATTTACAACAATTAATAGAGACAGATAAGTATAGTGTCTTTACACGGTATGTGAACTCTTGAGAGAATGCAGCGACAAAGAATCATGTTATTCACCAAGAGATCATAACCATTGATTCTTGGCTAGATTGGAGTTGAGGATGTTGAAATTTGTGCCCACGCCAATAATTTAACTGGTTTTGCTTGTATATATAGGTTGTGCATTCCATAATGATATATTGTGGAATACATTGCTAGAGAGTTTCCTTTTAAGTCATACTATTTTTTGCTTGTATACTTGGTCTTGGATCGAGCTTGGTTGTCAGAGATCCTTGCTAGGCCATGTGATCCCTTTTCTAAGCCGACTATCTGTTGGTCTCTGCAGTTGTAGAACCCTTAGGATCTGTCAGTTCTGTCCTACATTCCTCAAGCTAGGGAGTGAAGATGAGTAAATTCCTAATTTGTCCTAAAGTGGCTGAAATGAATTATATTGAAAGATTTTAATGAAACACATTGGTGACTTGGTGTTATTAAGATTGAAGATGGTGAAGAGAATCGAACTGCGGATAAGGATTGAAATTTTGATTTGGTCATTTTCAATATAGAAATTATGCACCTCTATGTGTAAAACAGATGATGTAAAAAACTAGCATGCTAACTCAGTGGTGCAAAAAGACCAGTTTACTTCCTGCCCACAATTCTAATAAATCACCAAAGAAAAGCATGATAAGGTAAACCAATATGTGCCACACCAGTGAGAGGTGTATGTGGGTTGGTATTTTTGGGGATGATTTACATTACCAAAAAAAACTTTTTAACATTCAAAGCTTGGAGATCACCAGCTGGGTTAGCAAGAGATACAGAAAATAGGTGTTTATTGAGTAGAAGCTAAGAAGCATGGACACGTGACACGACACGGACATGCCGACACGTTAATTTTCAAAAAATACTGGACACGACATATATATGAATATATCATTCAAAAATAATAAAAAATGGAATATAACACTAATTCCTATAAATTTATATGGTTTTTGCTTTATTATTGTATCTTAAGTTATTTTGTTCGAATTTATAATTAGTTTTGCATATGTCTAAATGATAGACACGTGTGTCCTCCAAATGTCCAAAGAGTGTTCGGGTCTTTAAAAAAATTTGAAAAATAGGACATGTTTTGAAGAGTGTCCGACACGTGTCTTAGAGTGTCCAAAAAGTGTCGGTGTCCAACACGGATACGTCATCTTCTTAGAAGTGTCCGTGCTTCTTAGAGTAGAAGCATTGTTTGACCGTTGTATTGCTCAATAAGATTATGGAAATTCACTGTAAAATCAGTATTCAAAAGCACCTATGTTTAGAAATCATGGTGCAAAACTAATGGCTGTGTCTCTGTCAAAAAATATAACCTTGTCGACCACCATGCTTCTCCTATTTGGGTATATGAATTTTCAAAAACTCCAACAAAAATCTTTAATTTGTTAAGAGGGTGAAAGGAGTCAAAAACCTGATTTACACCTACTTTAAGAGATATTTGAAAAACCTTCCTTCTTTATGGAAGATAATTTGCTTACTCCCCTGCCAGGCTTCAGATTTTGGAGTGCTCCCTCAATGTACATTTATTCATTTGAGACTTATTGCAGAAGAAATAGGCTTATGAGCTATCATCTAATCTTGGCATTTATTCTTAGAACCACTAACTTTTATTTGTGAAAGATCTTATACTAAAAATAACATCTATGTTGAGAAAACTTTCGATTCTAAACACACTTCCATGCTGAAATCCATTACTAGGTCTTTCTTGAAGTAAGATCTGTTCCTGTTGAAGTTACATATCTATGTAGACAAGAGCCAAGCCAGTTCCGCTAGTGCAATATGGAATATATAACAATAAAACAAGGATGTACGATGAAGTATAGGTGCCGAAGTGTTGGATGAAGCTTCAGCGGTATGCAGAGTTGAGATTTATGAAGCACAGACATGGGACATGACATGGACACGCGAACACGCAAATTTTTAAAAAATAGGGGACACGACACGTTGGGAACACGCTCAATATATATAATTTTATTTATTTATTATATGTAAAATTAAAAAATATATATATTATTTTTATTTATCTATTTATTTACTTTAATATCAAATATCATTCACAAATTAATTTTTTTCTACAATTAAAAATAATTTATTCTGTGTGTTAATATTTAGCAAACAAGAATATCTAAAAAATAGAAAAAAGGAAAAGAGGGGAAAAAAAGAAAAGAAAAAAGAATAGAACAAAAAGAGAGAGTCAAACGCGCAAAGGGGAGAGAGAGAGACGAACAAAAAGAAGAACAAAGAACAAATTCAAAGAAGCGAAGAGCATACCTCGATATAGGACTTCAACAGGTTCCTCTCTCTCTCTCTCTCTCCATAACGTGTCCAAGAGTGTCTCAAGTGTGTCTGGCTACAAAAATTCAAAAAAAAAAGGGGCCACATTATTTAGAGTGTCCGACACGTGTCGAACACTCATACGCTGCCTCCGGAGAGGCATCTGTGCTTTATAGGTTGAGATTATGTGGGACTAAAATTAACTTATGTTCCTTTTGTTTTTGTTTTGTTGTGTGTTCAATAGCCTATGTATCTTTAAAAAATTAGTAGCTCATGCGAAATATCTCAGAATAGTAATCTGAACTACAAAAAAGAAAATTCAAGGATCTTTACATTGATCTAATGTAGACCATAGAAGGCCCTAGAAAAAAGAAATCAAAAGAGAAGGGAAATTCAGAAATGGCTCGATTTCAAGGAGAGTCCCATAAGAGAGCTCCATAACCAAACCAAACCAAGCCTTAAGTCTCATCAAATAGGGTCGGCTGCAAGAACCTGTCTTTACCACTCGACTCTATCCAATGCCATTTCGTTAGTCAAATTAAGAAGATTCATATCTCAATTTATTATACTAGTTCACGTCAATCTAGTTCTACCCCTTCCCCTGACACTATCATCTACCATCACTATATCGCATTTCTTCACCGCTACCTCTGTTGGTCTCCATTGTATATGACCAAACAATCTCAATCTATTCTCTCTCAGCTTATCTTCTATCAGTACTACTCCTACCAATTCTCGAATATACTCATTCTTAATTCTATCTTTTCTAGTCTTACCACACATTCACTTTAGCATCCTCATTTTAGTAACGTTCATCTTATTTACATGTTGTTTCTTAATTGCCCAACATTCTGTCTCATACAATATCGCTGGTCTAATAATCGTTCTATAGAACTTCCCTTTTAGTCTAGTGGGAACTCGTTTATCGCACAGTACTCTAGACGCACTCCTCCATTTAAGCCATCCACCTTAATTCTATAGATCACATCCGCTCCAATCTCCCTAGTCGTTGTGATAATCGATCCTAAATAACGAAAATGTTAACTCTTAGGTAGTTCTTGGTTCTCAATCTTCACTTCTCAACTTTTATTGTGACTGTTGCTAAAATTACACTCCATATACTCTGTCTTAATTCTGCTTATTCTAAATCTTTTAAATTCAAGTGATTTTCTCCAAGTTTCCAATTTAGTATTAACTCATTTTCTAGTCTCATCCACTAACATGATATCATCTGCAAAAAGCATACACCATGGCACATCATCCTGAATATTTCGCATCAACTCATCCATAACTAAAGCGAAAAGATAAGGACTTAAGGTTGATTCTTGATGTAACTCTACAATAATTGGAAATTCACTCATCTCTTCAGCAGACAATCTAATAGTGGTCACCATACCTTCATACCAGGGCCAGCCCTGAGGTGAGGCCACTAAGGCCGTCACCTCGGGCCCCCAATTTTGAACAAAATTTAGGCCCCCCAATTAGGAGTGTGTCTTGTTGTGTTATTTCATAATTATTTTAATATTAGTTTAATTTATTTATTTTCATGTTGTTGTATGGTATTATTTTGATTTATGTCCGATTGATATTTAGACCTCGTTTGGGAACAGGCTAATTTAGTAACTTTTTAGCTATTTGGTTAAAATATGAGCTAAAAAAAATTAGTATGTTTGGGATGACTTTTTGGCTTTTTACGAAAAGATGTGCAAAAAGTAGAGAGAAAAGAGAATCTTTGACTTTTTGGTATGGGTTGTTAGCTTTTTGGCTAATTTAGTAACTTTTTGACTTTTTGGCTAAAAGGGAGGGTTCCCAAATGAGGCCTTAATGTGAAAACTTTTATTTTTAGTTAAAAATAACTTAGCAAGTGTATGAAGAGATTAAAATTTTTCCCATAAGTTGAATATTATAAAATTTATTTCTACTAAATGAAATTATTCATAGAATGTTTGATTTTAATTCAATTGCATTTTTCTAATTAAAAAAATTGTACCTTATTACTATATATTTTTTATTAGATTGATTCTAAAATAGGTAACAAAAAAATACATATCTTAAATGAAAAAAAGATATTAGCCTTAATTATTATTTTACATACTTTTTATTCAGTTAAATGGAATTAAATAAAAAATTAAAAAAATGTCATGACATCCCTTAGTGACATTAAAATATATAATTAATAAGTCATATTATTGAGTCGTGTCATACTTAGATTCATGTTAAAAAATAGTCAACCCTAACTTACTAATTTTATATATTGCTTGAGTTGTGTCGAAAATTTTCATCCTTAACCCCAATTAATTTTAGTTCTTATAGCATTGGTAAGCTAAAAAATAAATATTCGATTCAACTAATTGAAGTTCAACTATTTTATATATATATATATATTTGTTATCTAAATTTTGTTAAATTGTAATGCAATAGAAATAAATTTTAATCCTTTTTGTTTTATCCAAATAATTTTTTTTTAAGATAATGATACATGAAGGGCCCAATTTAAAAAATTCGCCTTAGACCTCTGATAACTCAGGGCCGGTCTTGCTTCATACATATTCATAATCACATCAATATAACCTTTTGTCACGAGATTACATCCCGAGGCACTTTATCATATGCTTTTTCAAGATCCATAAATACCGTATGAATGTCTCTTTTCTTTTCCCTATACATTTCTATTACTCTCTTCAAAAGATAGATCGCTTCCATTGTTGACCTACCAGGTATAAACTCAAATTGATTCTCTGACACCTCTATTATATCCCGTAATCGATATTCCATTACCCTCTCCCACACTTTCACTGTATGACACATTAACTTGATTCCTCTATAATTGTTACAATTCTTGACATCTCCTTTATTCTTATATATTGGTACTAAAATACTCTCCTCCACTGCTTTGTCATTTTCCTAGTTGGGAGTCTTTCATATACTCCCTCTGTCCCAAAATAATGGTCCCTTTTGGGGAATTCAACTTTTTTTGGTAGTACAATTATTGCATTTGAAAAAAGTTGATTTTTCAAAATTACCCTTTTGATAGTATATTTTTTGGGAATATCAATGTCATAATTGTACTTTTTATATTGTTTATTAATTTAAAAAAAGGGCAAAATAGGAAATTTATATTATTTTTGTACTTGATTTTTGAAGAGGGACTAATATTTTGAGACAATGAAAAATGGAATAAGAGACTAATATTTTGGGATGGAGGGAGTAATTGAATTATTATTTAAGATATATTTTTGAGCTTTTCTTATAATTGGTGTTTAGTAATTTGGTTTTAGGCTGTAGAGTGGGTGCCATGAGGCTCTGCTTTTATTTGTGAGCTCATTTGTTTATTTTGGGTCAGATTTAGTGGGTCTAGCAGGGTTTAAACAGAGGACAACCCTGTCTGTACTTAGGCTTCCAAGATGGCTTGGTCACCAAGTTTTCTTGGCTTCCAAGCTATAGCCCCTTTATATTAGTGTTGTATTGGCTTTTTTGGTTTACCATTTGAAGTAGTAAATGAAGATACATAGTGTGAAGCTTATTGCTTGAATGTGTGATGCCTCTGTTATTGAGTCCTGATGTCCAAGATTCATTGTCCAACTGTCTAGGCATTTCTTTATTCTAGAATAATGAGTGCTACTCTCCTTGATGTAGTGAGGTGTGACTTCCCAGGTTATCCCTCTTTCCTCCATTCTTTCTCTTTCCTTTTCCAACTTTTCACTTTGTCATCATTAACCACCTATTATTTTGGTTTTTTCGTTCACTCAACCCTTTTGTAAAGGTTGTCCTACTTCATGATCAGTTACTACATCAGTGTTGAGGCTTTGTAGTTTTGATAAAACCTGCTGATTTTTGCATTCCTTCATAATTTTTTATTTTTTTTATTTTTAAATTTGAGATATCTTGTCATCAAACTACAATTGTGAAATCTGCTGGATCTTCATATTAAAAAAAGAATTTCATCCCGTGATATTTAATACTTTAACTATTATGCCACTTGTTAGAAGGCTATTTGCTGCTTCAAAACTTGTTTCCAATTGGTTATGTTTTCAAGGTGTTATCTTGCCACTCCTTTATGTAGTCCCAAGCCTGATGTCAAGGTGATCATGTTTCCTTTCTTTTGTATTCATATCTAAACCCTAAACCCTAGCACTGCATATTGCATTTGGTTTGAAGTTATGTCCCTAACCTTTGAGAGGCATATTTTCTTTTGTTTTGTATTCAGTTAAATATTGCATATGATACGAGGAACAGATTAATTATAGTTGTTTAGTAGGCAAATGCAGTATCTTTATCTGCCTTTCTCATCTGATATTTTGTTCAATTGTTCATTAATCTTGTCTTCAGAGTGAGCATTCCTCCGAGCTAAAACTACTGCCGAACTTAGCTGAAACTGCCTCGGGAGCAAGCATTCCTCTTCAGAATGATCATTCTGATCGCTTAGAGCCTGGAATGTTCCAAGTACCAAGCCCAGTTTCAGTCCTTGAAAGCAGCAGCTCCTGCTCAGTTGAAAAGAACGTCTCCTTCAGCTTCAAACCTTACATCCCAGCGCGTACTCGTACCAAGCGTTCACGCTCTTCAACCATCAACCCATGGGTTGTGATGACGCCTCCCATTTCTTCGACTTCCAAAAGATCACACCATTTGCTTGCCCAATCCAATGACTTTCCTGAATCCAATCTCCCCAATATGAACTCAAACCCTGTCAAAAGAAAACTGAAGAAGAAAAAGAAACTATCGCAGCTATCAAGAGCCAATGAGATTGACGGAACTTCCTTGCAACGGCCTATTGCAACAAAAAGATGCGCCCATTGCGACGTGTCAAAGACCCCACAGTGGAGGGAAGGACCAATGGGGCCAAAGACCCTTTGCAACGCATGTGGGGTCCGATACAGGTCCGGCCGTCTCTTTCCACAATACCGTCCAGCATTAAGTCCTACCTTTGTTCCATCTCTGCACTCAAATTCCCACAAGAAGGTTGTCGAGATGAGAAACAAAGCTATCCAGGAAGCAGCCAAGGCTGAGGCAGAACCTCCAATGTCACCAGCACACAAACCTAACAAAAAGGCTGCCATTACTGAGACAGAACCTCCATTGTCACCATTCAAAGCAACCCAGGAAGCTACCATTGCTGAGACAGAACCTCCATTGTCGCCACCACCGGAATTTGTGCCAATGAGTAGCTATTTGTTTGATTTTGATTGCATTTTAGGGGTAGAGGGCAATGCTCCTAGAATGGGAGGCTTTATTTAATTTTGGTTTGTATTTTCAGGGTTGGGGGTTTAATATTTTGGTGTACAAAGATGGAATGAGAGTTAGGAAAGTTAGCAGATCGTGGATTTGGAACCTTCCATGAATAAGGTGAAAATCTTCTTCGGTTGAGGAAATTATGGTCGTGTCTTGGAGGAGAAGAAAATTGTTCGTGATGAGAAACAGATCGTGGGTGGACTCTTGGATGGAATGAGGTTAGAACATTTATTAGTAGGAAGTGGTAAGCATGGGTGTTGAAATATTGAAAAATAGCTTCATAGATGATTAGTTGTGTAAGTATTGAATTTTTTATTTTTTATTTTTGTTGAACTCAGTTTATGAATTTTATTTATTTAGGGTTTTTTTAGGTTGATTCCTTGGCGGGAGTTTCCAGTGGTATCTTTGAATGCTAATGCCAAGATTATCACTGCCTCTTTGATCTTTGTTCTTTGTGACTCTGTGCTTAGATATATATATATATATATATTTTTTTTTTGTGACAATCAGAAAACCCGAACCTGAATTTTATTTTATTTTTTTAATTTCTTCGAACTGGAGAAATTTATTCTCAGGTTTGAAAAAAAAAAAAAAATCAGGTTTTGAAAAAAAAGAAAAAGAAAAAAGAGCTTAATGTAAGATGTAAAAAAGCCTGATGATGCCCATTTCAAAGGCCTTTAGTGTTGGCCCATTGTCTGTGTCTTGAAAACATTGATGTAACAAAGCTTGAAGCCAGGTCCAGCCCATTTAACAGGCTTTTAGTGTTGGCCCATCACAAATTATAAACTAAATATTTTAAAATGGATCATGCTATGTTGAGAGCTTTACGCTGTGTTTAGTTGGAAGATTTAAAGAGGAATTTAAAAAGAAAAAGTGTGGAAATTAGGTAAAATATAAATATATTTTATTCATATTTTATTTACCTCTTCTATTTGCATTTCTAAATCTCTCTTCAAATTCTCCAATCAAAATGTTAACAATGAATTTTTAAAATTTCTATGAAATTCATTGAAATTTTCTTTTTAAAAAAAAGTTCATAGAACTACTTGATTTTATTTTATTAAGAATAAAGTAAGACATTTGCATAAAAAAAACTTCCCTCTCCCATAACTTGTTACTCTGTCCAAAAGACCACTTTTATTTATTATTTTTCTATAAAAAAGTTAAGATATAAAATACCTTTTGAAGTTTCAGTGACATACACTTTCTTATTTTAGATGCATATTGCTCTCCGCGTCATACCACTCACAAATTGATACCTTGTTATCTCGTAGGGGTTTCATTTGTGGGTCATGCCACTTCACTCATGTGTCGGAGATCACGTGTTCCATGTAAAGCATATAATAATAATTTTAAACAATAAATTAATTACATTTAACAGGTGTTGGACAAGCACTGGAAGTTTTGTGGACTGTTTTGGATGAGTTTATTGCTTCTTAGCAAGTGCAACATCAAGGTCCCATCACACGAGCACTTGCCATGTGCAATTGAGCTTTCGGTGGACTACTAGTTCCAACTATCAACCCAGCCTGCTTTGAGGTTTGTCACCCCTAGTAAGTAAAAAGAGTGGTCGAGTTTGACCTGGCCGAATCAAGCTTTGGGTTCAAACTGGGCCAACTGGAGTCACCTTTTCTGTTTTTCCTGTAGTTTTGACAGACAAAAACGACATAGACTCTTGCAACTTGACCAGACGTGGTGGGGGTGGGGCCCAGCAATTTTCCGAACGGTGATATTATTTGTACTAATTAATGTATCAATACTAGTTATGACATTATTATTGATCTCACTCATTATATAAATTATAAATATCAAAAATCTCTTAAATTATGTTACATCATCAATTAATACACTAGTTAGTAAACTAATTGGTGCATATAGTATTATTCGGTTACGAATCGTGAGTAATGTTAAGAATTAGATATTTTACTAAATAGAACTTACATTTATACGAGACATTTAGTTAATTATTTAATAGAAATTTTGAAATCTATAATATGTTTAGATGGTTGCTTGCCAATCGCCGCCCACTATTCATTACAAAAAAATTATTAGATTATTTATATTGAAACTCTCTAAAGTATTGGAAAATATTATTTTGATTTTATAAATTATAAAAGCGTATAATAAACCATCTAAACTGTTGAAAAATATGAGGAAAAAAATAATAATGTTATAATTAATTTTACATTAAAATATATATTTATCTTTTTCGTATCATTTATATTAGTTTTGGTTTTTTTAATTTTATTAAAAAATGATAATATAATTATGTAAAAATTATGAACTTATATATTTTTTTAAATCTCAAGATGGGATTCTAATCTATCCAATAAATATTATGAAATAAATTCCGAAATTAGTACCTAAGAGCATCTTCAATAGTTTGTCATTGGAGCTGTCATTACTATAATTTGGCAGCTGAAGATGAAAGTGGTGCTCCAATGGTACCATATGGTAGTTGTCATATGTGTCATCTCAGCTAAAACCTTTCATTTTTTGTTTATATTTTAAATGATTTCAGCAACAATAATAATACGCACACAGAGGACCAAATATAGAACCAAACACCGGACGATTGATCGAACGACCGGAAGACTCTACAAAGTTGGAGATGCTTTACCAAAATGACATCTAACCATTAGAGCACCATTACTATAATTTAATAATTTATTATTATTTATTATCCAATTATAGTAATGACAATATTATTATAATATTTGTCATTAGATATGCTCTAATAAATTTGTACGAATAGACTTATGTTGTGTTTGGTTGGGGAATTTGAGGAGGGATTTGGAAAGAGAAATGGAAAAGGTAGGTGAAATGAGACTATAATATGCCTAAATTTCACATAGTTTCACACACCTTTTCCCTTTCTCTTTCTAAATCCCTCCCTAAATCCTCCAACCAAACACAACATAAGGGGATTGAATAAGGATATAGCGCATGAGAGAAAAGTTGGCGGAAGACATGCGGTGGCTAAAGTTTGACATCATTTTATAATAGTAAAAAAAAAAAAAAGAAAGTTAAATTACATTGACACCCCCTATCGTTTGGCATGATGACAACAGTCTCTCTAAAAATTAAACTCTCCTCCTTGAAGTTTAGAGCCATATTACGATTTCACCCTTCCCTCAGTTAACTATTCAATCCAGTAACAAAAAAAATGCTGAGATGAGCAATTAAAAAAATTTAAATTCCTATTTTATCCTTATTTATCATATTCCTATCCATTTCTCTCTCTATCAACCCCACATTTGCCTTACCCAAACCGCCACCATTATTAATCCCTTTCACATTGAGATCATCATTGACCTGCAACAAAAACTCATTTTTTAATTTTGAGCAAAACGTTAAAAATAAAAGTGAAAATATTAGTTCACTGTAGATTTATAAAAATATATTTAAATTAATAATAAACTATATATTCAGAGTAATGTTATACAAATATAATTTTTATATAAAAAAAAGTCATATATAATGATATGTCTCATTAATAGCCATTCATTGGAAGTTTAAATTCCCATCGCTTTGGTTTATAATTATAAAAATACTATTATTACATCATTCTTATCAAGTTTTATATATAAATTTTATGTAATAATAGAATCTCCCGTACATTATACTATACAATCATAAAATTTTCCATTGATCAGTAATTAAATTTTAAAAGTACTACAGTTTTTTAATTGGCCCAAAATAAAATGCCCCAAAAGTTAACGGACCTGCAAACCCATAAAAATTAATAAAGTCAATATATATATTATATATATATATATATATATATATATATGTGAGTGTTTGTGTACAATAATTGTTGTGTCTATATATAAGTCAGTGTATGGTTGAAAAAAAATTCAAATTAATAATAAAGTTTACAAATTTGTTGTTACTAAAGTCATAAATTTTTCCATGTGTGTGCAATTATTTTTGAAAAGTATACATAATTTGTAATTTTTTTTCTATATTTATACATGTGTGTCTGCAATTAGGTTTAAAAATGAATATTAGTGTTTGTTTTTTAGTGCTTTTTTTATTGGTTTATTTTTGTAATTAGTGATTTTTTTTTTTAAAAAAAATTAGGCTTCTGAATTTTACTCAACAAGATGAATTGTAAAATAAAAAAAAAATTAAATTCTAAAAAAATTCAAAAAAGACAAAAATTAGCCAAAATTAGTGAGTTTTTTTTTAATAGTTATTCTGTCTTTTTTATTTTAATTTTTTAAAATTTTTAAATTTGTATACACAAGATAAATTGAAAAAATACAAATAAAATCTAACATAATTTTTTTTTTTAAATCAATAAAGAAAAAAAAAAGTGACTTTTTTCTGTGCACCCAACCGACAATTATACATAGGTTAATGGATATGGCTGAGGTTTGCCAACATTATCTTTTAGATTAAAAATCAAAAAATTATTAAAAAACCAAAAAGGCAACAAAAAAAACCGAAAAGGCAACAATTTATTATAAAAAGTTAAAGATTTTATTTTATTTTTTTACTTTTTACACATCTTTTTGTAAAAAATTAAAAAAATTATTCTAAATATATTAATTTTTTTACATTATATTTTAACTAAAAAACTAAAAAAAATATTAAAAAAATATATTTCCAAACGAGGCGTTAATGGAAAATTGTTCAAAACAAATTTAGCAAGCATCCACCGCTGGAATTGTTTACTGGAAGTCTCGAATATATATAGGCTTATGAAAGAAGCTGGTAATTTGATAATTTCATTATTTCAAGGAAGGGTGTTAAGGTTATTATCTATTTTCTATTATTTCTGTTAAGAGATCAGGTTTTCATTTTGAATGTGTGTTAACTTTTTAATTTTTTTTTTGACTATTTTAATCTTGAACTAAAAAGCCTTGCTTGAGATAAATTATTGGACTTTTTTAATTTTTGTAAAAGAAAAAATAAAATAATTATGATTTAGATATGATATTTAATTTTATTGACTTTTAGTCTATTTTATTCTTTTGTGACTAAAATAACCAAAAAAAAGTCCATGTCAAACATAGCCCAAGTATGATAGGGAGTGCAGTGTAATTTTCTAAAGGGTATGGCTTCTGTCCAATCTGGGATCGGACTGGACCGTACTGTTGAGCCCGTGAGAGACCACCACAGGTCCCGTTTTGATAATCTGAACCGTTCAATGTGTAGAACTCGTCGAATACTATATACCTGTAAAAAATTAAGTTGATCGAATATCGATAACTATATGATCAAATCAATTTCGTATTAAAAAAATTGGACGGTAAACAAATTAACGATTGACAAAAAAACTGTTTTGATCACATAGCTATCGATATCCGATCAATGTGATTTTTTACAGGCATATAGTACTCGACGAGTTCTACACATTGAACGGTTCAGATTATTAAAACGGGACCCGTGGTGGGCTCCCAAGGATTCAATAACACGGTCTAGTCCGATCCCG